CCGTTGTTGGTAGGCTATCTCCAGGACATCTGTGTACCAACTAAAGGTAGATGTGCTTAAGTGACGCGCTTTTCTACCTGGCAGGGGCCCTCTGGTGGGGGGGGGGGCAGGGGAGTGGAGGGGGGACGACTGATAAGAAATAATTTAATATTTAAAAAAAAAACTTAACCCAAATGACTTAAAGGGTGTGCTATTGGGGAAAATCATGTTGTTTTGTACTTATTTAAACTTGAAAGAGTGGGAGGACAAACGGAATTATTTGAAATGCATATTTATAGCGAATTCTGCTTACAATTTAATTCTTGTCAGAAAATCTATACAGTGATTGATTGGATGAGTTTTAAAAACAACAGCTTGAAGTTAGAGATTGTTTGTTTGATAGTGATACTGGAGACATGCATCATCAAAAGGATGAGCTGAACTAATCTGATGCCCCCCCCCCCTTTCCTCCCTCACCTCCCACGCACACTCAGCAGACAGACACTAACATCACCAATGTGCTGTTATCGGGCTCATATAATCTTCAATCCCATGAATGTAGCTGATATTGATTGTAGGGTGACTCGCTCTGCCTAGCGTTACCCCGTCGAACCGTCCATTTTACACTTGGGGGTTTACGTTGGCGGAACCGGGGTGAGGGTAGGGCGGTGGTTTAACACATGACGTTATACGGGTATGGTTGTTCAGTAAGTTAAATACCGGTGCCGCTAGTAAAAATGAATGCGTCGTGATTATGAATACAAGTTGCCGTTAATGGATATGAGGCGAAGGTGGTAACCTCTGGCCGATGATTCTTACCATGCATCCCTGAGACGCTGTTCCAAGGCAAACGTTTCGTCCCAGCAACTCCGCAAATTAGTTGCGTTGTGGAAACCCACTGTAGAATCCCACTTATAGGGCGTCCAACGCTTTCCCGGGATGGGTGGGGGAAGATTTTAGGACGTAAATTTACCCTTCCGACTCCTGAGAAAGTCGATCGTGTGCACTGTGTGTCTTTGGGTAGGGGCTGCCTCCAGCGGAACCCGGTCGAGCGGACTCGGGTGGGGGCTGTCCTGGCAAAAGGACATCTCCAACGTGCCGCTTCGCGGCCCGATACCGGGCTTAGGGGGGTGGTTTGGGGAGGGCATAAAGAGCTTTAAGCTCCACGGCCCTCTGGCGCTATTTATTAACGTAATATTTCTTAATGTAATGCGTACAGCGCCAACACATTACACCGGAGAACGCTCAGTTCACCGGTAGGATATCATGACAAAAGTCGTCAGTCTTTAGCTCACTCACGGCGGGTCCGTCGGTGCTTGTGATGTTACCGTGCATGTCAAAGCAAAATGACCTTTATCTTCATTAAAGTAGAATTGTATGTTTGTTACAGCTAGAAGTAGAAGACCTTTGTAGCAGACCGTGTTATGGGTCAAAGTTATATTAAGCTCGAAAGTTGAATAATTATTGTTTTAGCATGCTAAATACACGGATCAACGTGGAGAGCTCGGGACTCTGGTTCTAGTTTTGACATTTTTTTCTTCAGAATCCCCACCCCCGATCATTTTCCCTCATCCACACACTTAAGATATTTAAATGTTTAAATAATTAGATATATATATATATATATATATATATATATATATATATATATATATATATATATATCTCT